TGAAATAATGCAACAAGGATATCAAACTCGACAACAATGCACATGTGCATATATATATACATCCGTCGAAATGAGCAACCGGAATAACCTCGGCTCCATAATAATAGGCTAACTGCATCTGTCTAAATGAGTACCTGGAATAACCTCAGCCCCATAATAACAAGCCCACTAGACCATCGTCAATAAATAACCGGAAAATCATCGGCTCAATGAATGACCTGATAAACCCATGATAATATAACGGTCATCCGGTCACTTCCATATACCCACCATACGACTCCCACAATCAATACATGGATAGCCGAACGTTGTTGTCATTAATCACAAGACGCCTCATAGTCTGTGATAGCGAAGATAGGACCCCCACTGACTAGCCCTATCCCGTGTAATGTAGTAGAATCCATGCAACCTAGAATCTCCCAAGGGAAACGTGAAAACTCTACTCCTCCCACGCGCCATAAAGAGATCACGTTTGGAGTTTGACATATGATTCTAAATTACCGGTTGACCTAACTAGTATCAGTCCAATGAGTGAAACAACACCTAACACGAATGACTACACCAAATATGTCTCAACTACCATGGGTCTAATCCCTGAATGACCGTGCGACTAAGTCACCCAATTGTCCGACTACTATCGTCCACTATCCCCAAAGTGTTACGGTACATCGGGGTCGAATATCCTAACCCCAGATGATGCCCTCGCCTAGCACAACCACATACGGCGACTAAACGATAGATCCATAAAACATAACCGATAAACCGTGCAATATGTGTGTAGCATGTCAAATAAGTGAATTTATCGAAAATGGTTGGTGAGACAACTCATCTATTCTCCTTTTCATAAATTCACCAACGCGATCAAATACGTATATCAAATATCATAAAATGAGAAGTCTCACACATGCATACGCACAAACATATATATATAAATATATACATGCACTGGCAGAATGATCCACATAATATCATATTAACATATTAATCATAATTGCATACAATATGCATACCTAATTTCTTAAAATTAGATTTATTTCCCTATTGCTTACCTCTTATCGACACTCCCTATCTTTTGCAATCTCACCCAAATCACCTCTAGTGTACATCTGCCCCATTATTTATTAACAGATGAGCTATATGCTTATTCATAGGAGCTATCTGCTTATTCAAAAGCTAATTTAAATAATTAGCTCGTCGAGCTTCAAACTTTTATATTTAGTAGAATACGATATTCTAGCTATAAAACTCTTATACATCATAATATTTATATCGCCCGATTATTAAATAAAAATACTTAAAGATATGAATAAACTGGCAGGTGCAATAGACTACCATTTTCAATTCGGCTCGGATCGATACGAAATTCTCAAAATATAACACTGGGACTACGAATATGCTAGTAGCTAAAAAAATTAGTCGATTAAATAGCCAAATAACTAGTTAAGAATTTTTGAAGAATTTCTAATTTAATATCCCCAATATCTAAATTCATATTAAAATCCATAATTAAACTCTACGTATAGCAAGGAATACAATACCGAAATCGGATTTGAAATCGAACGGCTAAATCCTTCCATTATTTTTTCTCTTTCTTTCTTCCTCCTATTTTCTTCCTGCGTCTCTGCTTCTGCTCGAAGAAATGTGTGGGTTTGTTTGTTTGTATGTATATATATTATATTATTATTATTATGTATTATATTATTATTATTATTATTTTAAAAATGATCCTTATCATCATCATCTTTAATATTATATTATATATATATTATATATTATGATTATTTTTATCGATATTTATCTGTTTAACAGTCTTTGTAATTATAATCAATATACAAAATAAGAATAAAATTTATTTCGGAATATTAACTTCTTGATCCCAAAATATTATAAAAATATTTATTTGCTATAGTAATATTATTTTATACACTCCGAAATCGGAACATTACATTCGATGAGACTATGAGGTCCCATGATGCTGCCTTTTGGAAGGAAGCCATCACTGACAAGATGGATTCTATTAAGAAAAATCATACATGGGAATTAACAGATCTACCTCCAGGTTGTAACCCTTTGGCATGTAGATGGATCTTCATAAATAAGATGAAATCTTATGGAACCATTGACAAGTTTAAAGTTCATCTGGTCATTCAAGCATTTCGACAAAACGAAGGCATAGATTATTCTAATACCTATGCATCAGTTGTCTGTATCACAACTATCAGTTTATTGATTTCCCTAGCAGCAATTCACAATCTGGTAATCCATCAAATTGATGTTAAAACAGTTTTTCTAAATGGTAATTTAGAAGAGAGGGTACATATGAGGGAACCAGAAAGATTTGTCTAACCAAGAAATGAATATAAAGTTTGTAAGCTTGTGAAGTCACTCTATGGTCTAAAACAAGCACCTAAACAAGTGGCATAGGAAATTCGATAAAGTTGTTTTATCAGATGAATTTTTCCTGAACAAATCAGAAAAATATGTGTATAGAAGATTTAATAACAATGGTCAAGATGTATTAGTTTGTCTGTACGTTGATGACTTTTTGATCTTTGGAACATATCAAAGTCAAGTAAATGAAACTAAATAGTTTTTATCTTCCAACTTCTCGATGAAAGATTTGGGAGTAGCTGATGTGATTCTCAGTATTAAAATCAAGCAAGAACGCAAAGAGATTACAATTACTCAATTTAACTACAAAGATTGTATTCCTGTAATCACTCTATGGGATCCCAGTGTAAAGCTTATGCCTAACATTGGGGAACCTATTTGTCAACTTGAATACTCAAAGGCCAATGGAAGCCTAATGTATAGCTATGACTAGCACTAGGCCTGTGACACCCCGACCTGCAAGCCACGCAAAGTCGGACGTGTCAGGATCGTAGAATGTCCCTATAAGTCAACACGAGTTCTTCCAACGGCTTTTGTCCTCACTCACGCACACCCTGAAGACTTCCTAGAGGGTAACCCATCCTTAAATTACTCTAGAGCAAGCATGTTTAACTCTAGAGTTCTTTTAGTAGGGCTCCCGAAAAGAAATGTGCACATTGTTGACATGAGTGGTCTATTTAATCCATTTAATTACTATTTAATCTCGGATGGCCTGACACCGGCTCATCCACGGGAGTTGACCTAGCACTAGCCCAACTCCGGAGATATTACAAAGCCAGATATTGCGTATGTTATCGGAAGGTTTAGAAGAGTTTTCAAGTATTTAAAGTCGACTGTTAACTATGTTTGTCATGATGTGGATTTTCTTCGGTAAATGATATTTGGATGCTAGTTGGATATACCATGAGAAATATCACTCTTCCATGTCTTGATGGGTATTCTTGCTTGGGAGATGTGCCATTTGCCGGGCTTCCAAGAAGCAAACTTGTATTACTCATTCTACAATGGAATTTGAATTCATAGCTTTAGTTGCGGCAGGTAAGGAAACAGAATGGCTTCACAATTTGGTGTATAAGATTTCATTATGGACAAAACCGGTATCACTTATTTCTATTTGTTGTGATAGTACAACAACTATGGCTAAGGCATATAACCAAATCTATAATGGAAAGTCTAGACACTTGGTGTTAGACACAATATGATTCGTGAATTAATCCCAAATGAGGTGATCTCGGTGGAATTCGTTCGATCACAACATAATCTCGCTAATAATTTGAAGAAAGGATTAGCTAGAGACTTTGTGCACAAGTCGTCAATTGGAATGAGATTAAAATCCATCTAAAACTACATAGTGTAAGACACCCAATTCCCTTTGTAATACAACGTTAGAAGCTGAGTTCAATGTGGAAAACTCACATTTTGGAGATTGGAACTTATATTGTAAATTTATCCTAAGTTTGCGTTCGGACCTACAAAAAAGATAGGTTGAGATTATTCTCTTAATGACTTCTTTGAAAAATTGCTAATACAGTAGCAAGATTAAAAGAAGTTACTTATAAAAGCATGAACTTTTGTCGGTTCAAGAAAATTTGAAGTTGCTTTCAATATGCTTGTGAATGGATAGGGACACATGGCTTGTGACGTGTCAAGCATGAACTAAAATGAATGATAAATTTGTGTGTACATTACCTTCATGTATTCAAATGATTTGAAATGTTCAATCCTAGCAACATCTTGATTCTCGAATATTTGAAACGTGTGATGTACTAAGATAAAAATTCAACATTTGAGATATTTTCATTTATGCATGATTCTATGGTGTATGATTGTACAGTCTGTGATTTAAAAATTACTAAAAAATGGAGGACTGTTGGAATTTTAGCATATTTTTTGTATAACTTATGATACATTTATGTTTAAATATAATTTACTATATAGGTCTAATGTAAAATGACAATGAGATAAAATGTATATAGTGGAAAACTTAAGTGTCCCATTGCCAATAAACCAAAATTCAAGTCCAATTGAAAAATTCAGCATGACATAAGTGATTTAGTCATGACCATGACTAAATTACCAACAAGTTGATTACTTCTTTTAAAAAAGGAAATGAAAATTTTGACTTAATAAACTAAAATAGTATTACTCGTGGGAAATGAAAATTTTGACTTAATAAACTAAAATAGTATTACTCGTGGGAGGAAATATATTATTGATATAGATGATACCAAAGTTTTAAAAAATGTGTGAACAAAGCTTAAATTTTAGACTATTTTATATACCAAACAATAATCATGGGTTGGTAGTTCATGTCTAAATCAATGTATAAATTATCATCCCAAAACTTTCAACTAGAAGCTTGATTTTGGTTTAAACTGTTATTTTTTATTAAATTTTTTTTTTAAGATATGTTCCTTTGTGATTTCAAATTGAAATACCACTATTTACTCCGTATTATTCTCTCAAAAAATTACACCAAAACACTATTTAAATAGTTTTTCGTATGATGCGGAAAAAAATAAGTAAATAAAAAATATCTCGGATTGGAGCCATTCCATACTAAGTGATCTAAAATCCCAAGTACTAAAAAACTCGACGAATTAGCGAGTAAAAAAAAAACCTTTCGATATAATATGATGCATTACTCACATTTACCTTACTACCACCAATATTTCTTTCCATACCAATGATCCATCCATGTATAGCACTTAAGCTTCATTATTCAAGCTTTTTATAACTCATTTACATTTACCTAAGGTGAAATAGCTGGTATAGTACCTGTTGTGTATGTATGAAGCTCATCGAAGATTCTTTCGTAAGTCATGTGACGCCTAATCTACGGCCTTAGAAGCCTCGGACCAGAGCTAGAGGCAATCCATGCTGTAATTACATCGACTAGCAGATCAATGTCCTTCTGATTCCCTGTGCTGAAAATCGTGGAGTCTGAACCAAATGTGTTGCTCACTTCTTTGGCAACAGCCTCCCATGGCGTACCTGCAGTTAAGTTTGCCAGGAACTCCCCTCCACGATTTACTGCCTCCGCCATTGCTGGGGGAACATCCGGAAGAACCTGAATATTAAAAGCATAAGAGAATTGTGTTGCTTTTTAATATTGTAAAAAAATACATTTATTTAGATGAAATTAAGGAAGAAACTCGAAATAATATTCTGAAGCATTCCTGAGAACATTTTCCGTCCTGATAAAATTTTGGGAAAGGACCAAGACAAGGTGTATTCGTCCTCATTTTATCCAATCACAAGCCATAAATTAGTTATATACTATCTTACAAAGTGAATATTACCATGTTGCATGTTTATTTTATCCTCCTCTAATTTTTACTTTCATGTTGTTAAATATAATCCCTCCACCAGCATTAATTACATATTTTTGTTCATCCAAAAACAATAGTCTTATTTCCATAAATAACCATATCACCATAAAATTACCTCTTACTTTTTCATTTTTAATACAAAATTGTCATTACTTTTTACACTAATACACTCACAAGGGCAAAAAAGTTTTTTATCTATATTTTTTACCAACTACCAATATAATATCAATATTGCTTAAATTTTGTGCCCAACTCAATTAAGACTATAGTTCTGGACGGAGGGAGTAATAGATAATGAAAATAATTTGAGGTCTCATTTGTTTATTTTATATTTGTATTTGTTACAAAAAAGATTATAGTAAACTGCTATTGTAAATAAGTTTTATTGTTATGGTTATGCTGTGAGATTTGAAATGAATGTTTTAGTTCAAGACTAAAATTATTAAATTCTCAAATATCTCAAAATCGACCAAGACTGGAAGTAAAAACACAATCTGAAGGGGACAAAGTACCTGTTGTAGAGGCAGGCCATGATCTCCGGGCAGCATACGAAGAGACAAATCCAGCATTGAACTAACAGCAGATTCTGAGCTTAAAACCTGGGCTAGTATAGAAGTTTCATCGATGCTGTCATCTTTAAACTTTATTAGTAAATTCCTTGAGATTCCATAGTATGCCTTGATCTGTAAAATGCAGTCACAGAATAATAAATCACTGATTGTATTAATGTATGCTACAGCACATCATGATTTTTGTAAATCACAGGGAACGGGAACTACAGTCTCAAATAGCCAGCCTAAAGCTTCTGTGTAACAATAAATAAAGTGAGCAAGCATTGGTTTTCAGAAACATTTCACATGGATATGTGAGATTAAATGTATGACGAACATCATAGATATAATACTGAAAATTGTAGTTTGAAAAGAAATTAATTTCAATTTAGAAGGAAACACATACAATTGAGAAAAATTAATGAATTCTAATTTTAACAAGCATGTTGCAGGCAAACTTTTTCATTTGACTGTATTCTTTTTTCAGTACACTTTTATCTGAGAAGTTGGAATTTTCTTAACCTAACAAAAGTCATAGTTGACAGTAAATGTCGTAATCTTCTTTTTAATGGTGCACCATCATTGAAACACAATCATTTCACTGTCTGCATGAAATGTAAGAAGTAGAAAATTTACCAATCGTCGAGTTTCTTCAGGCTTAGGAGAAAAATCTTCTCTCCCATTAGCTAAGTCCATGTACAATGGAGGAAGCTGCTCTACCAGAGGAAGAACTTGCTTCAAGATGGATGGACTAAGGTTTTCAAACTGTTTCATTGTCATCTCAGCCTGTAATATTCATTTGAAAACTTCAAAATAACTCACATTTCGGAAAATTTACAAGGTAAAGAAACAAAAGCATCTGCAAATTCCAACTCCCTGATTTCATGTCTTTGCATATTAAATGACTGGAGAATTGCATAGATAAAAAATTATATGCACATTCATTATTCTTACCTTTTTATGCATGGGGTTTCATGGAGAAGTCTAGGGGATTAAGGTTTAGGGTTTAAGGGAGAAATTCAGCAGAGAGCATAACAATGGAATCACAACAAAGAAAAGATGCCAAACATGAAGGACAGAAACCAAGAATGATAACAAATCAATGTTTGGTAATAGAAACATTGAATCATATGTTGATAAACAATGGACTATTTGTTAATCTATACAAATATCTTATGAAAAAGCCACTTGGTCTACAATGCTACTGCAATAATTAAAATACTCCTTTATGTATTCTTTCAATACCTCCCCCAAACATTTCATTATTGTCCTTAATAGTTATTATTATTATTATTATTTTATTTTTTTTCTCTATCTTGTGAAATATTTCTATTGGTACCTTATATAAGTCTTTATTTACAACATATTATTGATGTTCTTAAATAATTTGAACATGCTTTACTGAAATATAATATTAAACTATTCATATAATTAGTTACATGCTATAACTGCGTTTTTATCACCATTTAATAGTAATGTCAAGTGCATAAAGATGTAAGACACAATCTCACCCCAAGACGAACAGTTGGCGATGATGCTAGTTGTGATAATAATGGTCCAAGGCTTTGGGCCACTGGCACAAGAACTGGAGAAAACAGAGGTATAGCTAGGCTTGATTCCTGAAAGTAAAATAAAGGACGATTATAAAAGTTCTTACCATAACACTAGAACATTCTTTTGAAACAGGAATAAAAACCTATATACCAGAGCACTTTGTCATACAGAAACAGCCAGCTTAGGAAGAGGTTAAAATCAATGGTTACTGCCATGCACCATTAATTAATTCAATATGAATAAAAAGGATGAGCCTGCTAGCTTTTAAAGATCTATAAATGAGAATAATTGGCAAGCCAACAGAGATGCAAACAAGGTAATTTATCATGAAGCACCTTGTTGTTGAATGCCAATAGAATATTCCCACTTCTTTGCACGGCATATCTCGAACCTGATGACCAGATAAGAAGTTATCAATTGGTTCAAAGTATAACAACCACTGCAAAATAACTATAGCAAAAAAAAGAACATCAACCTATCAGAAGATGAATAACAGATCCCAATGAATGACCGATGCCAAAAGTAGGAACATCCTCAACCTGTTAAATAAAGCAACTCATCAACACAAAATAAGAAAGCGACATAGTAAATATGTTCACAAATTAGAAAAGGAAACTTACACTCTCTTGGAGACTTCGAAGACACCTCTCAAATTTAAACTGCACTTCATCAGCAATCAAGAAGTGATCAAAACCACTGGCATATGGGGTAGCAATAACTAAGACTCCCCTGTATCACAAAATTTAAGATATTACTAAGGATCTCAATGATGTCAGAAACAGCAACTTATACTTAGCCTGCTCAACTCCTCTTAAACCCAAAAATACAATAAAAACCCACAAAGTGAGTACAGAAAGCAATAAAAAACAACACTCTGTTTATTTAATTTTCAAACTTGTTTTCGTACTATTCATCAATTGCTCTATTTTGCAAAAAAAACATCACATCCAATACTTACTTTTCATTTAGAATATTACATTAAAAAACTTAGGGTGTTTTTGGTTTGTGTTTCCGTTTTGTGTTCGGATAGTAGTTTGATGTTATGGTTTTTGAAAAAAAATAATATATATTTTTTAGAGAGCGTGGGATTGCATAGTAATGGAAAAAAGAAAAAAACCATAGGCTTACTCTTTATTCAAAATATCAAATCCAACATTTATTTGTATCATATTAAACAATTATTTTCTATTGAACTTCTTACTATTCCTGACGATCCCACTAGATGTACTTCTACACTTTAAACTCCAATCCTAATCACTCTTGAACGATGCAGCGGAATAGAATGCAAACTCAAAAGGTTTGTTGTGTTCAGAGTGATATTGTCTACTTGAGATTCGAACAACAAACAAGAAACAAGAAGTGCAGTGCAGAGTGAATTGAAACAAACAGTACACCAAAGTTTGTTGACCCAGATCGGCCCTCAACCGGCCTACGTCTAGGGGTACCAACCCAAGGCAATTCCACTATAAGTAAGGCAAGAAGTAGATACAAAATCTCCTCACACACACTACACAAATCAACAGCCACAAACCCAACTTAAATGTATTGGTTTCCATACCACATACAAGTGCATCTTCCTTCGCAAAGGCAAGTATGCAAGGCCTCGACCTCCATTGGTTGTGCTCTGAAATGGGACATTGTTGTAGGCAGCTTGTCATCTCCTCCTCCTTCGACTTTCCTTAGAATCCCCTTTGAACCAAACAAATACTCGGAAATTTGTCGACACAACAGACTGCTGTGATTCCTTCAGGATGTGATTTTGACTTCAAATCTCTAGCAACTTCGACAAGTTTCAGACCCAATGTAATAGATAAAATTCCTCCCAAATTTTTCTACTCAAAACATGGTCTAACCTCTCACAAAAATCCCTCAAAATAAAAAAGAATACTCCCCCTCAACTAGAAGTGAAACTCAACTATTGTACCATGGGATATGGGCTTTCCATTCGATATGAAAAGAGTAGAACAGCTCTCACTCTACATTAAGCACTCAAAAGATCTCAGAATTTTCTCTCAAAAAATTGTGAAAAGCCCCATTTCCACAATTCCATGGAAAGTGTATATATACACATACACAAACCCATTTCTTCCAATCAACATTCAACAACAAATGGATTCAAAATGGTTAAATATGCCAAGACACATCTCATGACACATATCAATGCATATGGGACGAAATTGATATGTCAAACTCCACATAAATATCTAGAAAGATAGTCAAATATTACCTCTTTTGGTAATGGGTGTTGGAAACCTTTTTCCTTCTGCATGCAATCTCGTGGAACAAAGCCATTTTTTCTTTGTATGAAATACGACAGTGAGATATATTTTGTCTCACTTTAAAAGCTTTTTCAATGACCAGAACATCAGACCTTAAACCATGAATTCGAGCATGTTGTAGTCTTGCAGACAGTTGATTGGTCGTCTGATCTTTCTACAGATCCAAAATGGACTAAGTCTCCTTTCATTTTTCTTCATCGCTTTTGATTTTCCATATCAATGCTAGCCAATTTCTCTTGTACTTTTTGCCAATAAAACAAACAGGATTCCAATTGTCTTTTTATCTCTAAAAAGACTTCTTCCAACTCAGAAAATATGTGGAAAAACACATGCACCAGTTGGTTGTTTGAACATTTTGCTGATCTCCGATACATCAAACAATATTTCATACCAACAATCTCCCCTTTTTGGTTGATGTATCCAACATCGAGAGAAAGAAGATATTAGTGGATCCGCAAGGACCTATAACAAACAAACCCGAAAAGTTTTGCCACACGATGGCACTTTTCTCATTGTCTCCCCTTGACATCAGCTTCTCCCCCTAGATAGCATGTCATGAAGCTTCAGCTCCTTCCTCATTCTCCCCCTTGGGAAACATCAGGCAAAAAGGTTGAGTTTATGCACGATCAATTCTGGAGGCTTTAACAGCCTCGACATCACTTTCAAAATCTTCAATGTCGTCCACACCAGGGTCAAACGACGCAATTTTAGGAATTGGATCAATGTCTCCTTTTTGTTTTCAATCCTTCAAGACATATAATATGACATCATCATCCGGTTCATCACTGGACTGCACTGCAGGACAGGGTTCTCACATGTATTCTCTTGGTCATAATAAATTTTCTGCTACAAGCTCATCTTGGTTGTCCACTTCGGATGTGGGACGAAGAATATCAACATCATTAATACCATCATTAGAAATGGTGTTTCTTCCATCAATATCCATATTTTCTCCATAGGGATTAATCTTTTATTGAACTCCTTGATTGTTGGGTACTTTCAGGTACAATAGTATCAAGATCAGCAACAACAGGGATGGTTCTGGATAAGTAATAGCGGCTGTAATTTCTTATTCTCTAGCAGAGCAGTGGCATCGGATTCTTCAGTCTCCATGGCAGCATTTTCATCAGCAATTTGGATATCCGCATAGTATTTCAGTAGCACATAGATTTATCCAAAGCAAAATGAATTTTTTTCTCCTTTTCATATTTTCTTTCCATTCTTCTTTTATTTTTCTCTCCATATTTGTCTCCAAAAATCATCCAGTAAAGCTCATGCATATACTATTCATCAAATTAATTCAATGCATGATATGGAGAGTGAAAAGATTATAGACCTTTTAGTGATGGGTATACATACCCAAGTTCTTTCTCAATAATGTGAATCGGTCCGAATCAGCCTCTGAAGTGATCATCATTGCATTTAACCCAGTCTGAGTCCATAAATCTGATTGAATCCATCTATGATCCCTTTGCATACCATAGGCTAAAATCAGTTGTGCCCTTAACAATCGAATAATCCTTTTGACTGCTTTGAAATGTGCCTCATTGGAATTTGCCTGAAATCGGGCACGAATACATACGTTGAAGCACATATCTGGTATGCTAGTTGAGGTAGAGTAAGCTTCCAATCATGGTCTTATATAATTTATGATCAACTGAATTTCCAGAGTCACCCTTTGACAATTTCTCATGTAATCCCATCGAAGTCCGAATTGCTTGAACTCTCCATGCCGAACCTTTTTACAAGATTTTGAGCGTATCTACTTTGACAAAGAAAAATTCCATCTTTGCACTGCTTGATTTGCAGTCCCAGAAAGAAGTTCAGCTCATCCATCATGGACATCTCAAATTTTGTTGACATAAAATCCACAAATTCATTCTTCAAGACATTTGAACTGGATCCAAAAACAATGTCATCCACATAGACTTGAACAATTAGGATATCCTTTCCGGCACGTTAATTGAACAATGTTTTGTCGATAGAGCCACGAACATAATCATTATTAAGAAGAAATGACGATAAACGATCATACCAAGCCCTTGGAGCTTGCTTGAGTCCATAGAGTGCCTTGTGAAGTTTGTAGACATACTCTGGATGAGTTAGACTCTCAAATCCCCTTGGTTGAGCAACAAAGACTTCCTCTTTGATCCATCCATTTAAAAATGTCGTTTTCACATTCATTTGGAATAACTTGAACTCAAGAGTGCATAAAATGGATAGAAGCAATTGTACCGCCTCAATCCGAGCAACGGGGGCAAAAGTCTCATCGTAGTCGATTCCTTCAAACTGAGAATAACCCTTGGTGACCAGCCTAGCTTTGTTTCTGATGACATCTCCCACCTCATCGGTTTTATTTCGAAAAATCCACTTGGTACCGATCACATTGGCATTTGATGGTAGTTGAACTAGCTCCCACACTTTGTTTCTTTCAAAATGAAGTAATTTTCCTGCAAAGGCGTGATTCAGTATTCATCCTCTAGTCCCTCATCAACTTTTCTAGGCTCCACTTTGGACATGAAGCAGCTCATCCCAGCGAGGTCTCGAAAGTTGATTGTTTTACCTCGAGTTATCCTTTCTCCTTGAGAGTCTCCAATAATGGCATCAGATTGACGATATTTGTTGATTATTGGTCTCCTTCTTACTTCAAATTCTTCTGGTTCATCCTCTTCACCAGATGGTTGTTCATGGCTGTATGATCAGCCTCTGGATCATACTCAATTTCGACAGCAGTTTCTTTTTATTTCTGACTTCTCTTTTCAACAAATGCTTCAATATCAAAATCATTGTCTTTGTTGACCTCTAGGCCATCATCAAATTTCACATTTGAGGATTCCATCACCTTTTTGCTTTTTAAATTGAAGACACAATAAGCCTTGCTATTCATGAAATACCCAAGAAAGATGCATTCATCTGCCCTTGCTTCAAATTTGCTAACAGGCTGTCTGTCCTTCAAGATATAACATTTGCATCCGAAAGTGTGGAAGTAGTGAATGGTATGCTTTCTTCCTTTCCATATCTCATAGGAGGTAGACTTAGTGTGCGGCCTTAAATGGATTCGGCTGATGATGTAACAAGTTGTACTCACGGCTTTGACCCATAAGTTTCTTGAGACTGATTTAGCATGCATCATGGTGATAGAAACAAGAACACAATTTAATAGAAATAAGAACCAAATATCTTCTGCGCGGATAAACCTCTCTAACCCTAATTCCATTTATTTATATTAACTTATAAATCTAATTATGAATAAGATAAGGACTAATTTGCATTGCAAATATATAGTAATTATGGTAATGCAACGATTAGACCAAAATCCCCTTTTCCGCGTCGTGTATAGACACGCAACGTTAACAGGCCATTGTTTCCGGTGCTTGGTGATTGTTCAATATCAACTCCCCCTCCGAAAAAACCTTGTCCTCAAGGCGAAATTTTGGAAATTGGCCATGC